GGGGGGGGGGGGGGGGGTGGCTGCCACTGCTTTCGTTTTCTTATGTGAAACATGTTAAGGTCTCGAGAGTACAATTTGATATTGTTTCTTCAAAACGGAAATGAGACATGTTGGGGTATGTCAGGTGAAAATTATATAGGCTAATAATCGACCATAAGTTCGAAAATAAACCGACTAATAAATCCATAAACCGATAAAGAAATCTTGAAGTTTGGATGGTTTCTCTTTGATGCTGTGCGAGACCTTATTCTTAGGACATAACGGGTGTGAACCTGTCTATAAATATTTTAGTTATATTTATTATATTATACTATTTCGTTGGATAAAGTTAAAGATAAAAAGTCAAAATCAAATTATGTACATTTTTCCTGATTAATTAGATCAGATACGTCGTCATATGTGACAGAATGCGCATTAGAGTTGATTGTGCGATAAATAAACGATATAAATTGTAAATTGTTATTGTATATATATTTTATCAAATTGCATCAGTCTGCACATATTCTTAACCCGTAACCCATTTATAATTATATAAATTGACTCAAGTCACGCGATATAGAAAACGAAAGCAGTTAATGCGCATTGGAGTTTATTTCGTAGACCAGTCCTTCGGTCACGTTGGAAGTTTTTAAACAAGATTAAACGAATAGTGTTTTCATACGTCCACATGTAAAATCGCAGACAAATTTGTTTGTATAGGCACAATAGAAACTACAATTTTCAATAGATTTTGATGAAACTTGGTATTGGAATTGATAAAATATCTGTCAAGTTTGAATCTTATGTTTTTTCATTGAACTTAGTCAAAACGCATACAATTTCTTCGCATACAGTTTCTATCTAATTAAAATGAAATTTGGTCTGATCATATAATATTGAAGAGATCTTGGACAGTTCGATTATAAGGATTTTTTGCTGAACTGTTGATCGGATGAGTTTTTGCACTTGACTAAGTCAAAAAGCACCATTTAAACGCATAAAATTTGTTGTGATCATATATGTGTGATAATATTAGAATATTTTGCATTTGACTAAAAGTTTTGAGTTATTGACCTTGACTTAAATGATGTCAAATTTGTTCGTGCGCTCGACTCAACAGAGTCCATTTTCGTTCCATTTGAAACTTTGTGTGATCATTGATGTGGAATTGATAAGATCTTGAATATAGGAAGTTGATTACTTTTCTGAGATTGAATAGAAACTTAACAGATTAATCATTATTATGATCTAAATATTTAACAAACCTGCTGTGTGGACGTAAGTTTACCTTGCCTGGCAAGTTATCTTATATCTCTGGATTTTCCAGACAAGGAAATGAAAAAAAAAAAAAAAAATCCAGTTTTGGATCAATAATGATTGAGGTTTTCTTTGTGTTACCATTTACTTTCATACCAAGACTGTAAGAAATAATTATTTATTTCGTAATAACACATTTCTATAGCCAAACACATTGTACAATCTGACTACAGAAAGCTTCCATTGAAACATGCAAAATCTGCTAGCAAGGTAAATTATGTCTTGTGCGTTTTATTTCAATGTCCTTAATGGAAGGGGTCGTGTGTTTTTTAAACATCTACGCCTACTCCCCCACACCCCTTCGTACCAGGGCTACACACTGACAAGCACACATCGAGGATGCGGGGATGACATGCCTTGTCGTAGAGAATGTCGAAATGTTCATAAATTTGGCAAGCATAAATGTTCGTACCTTGTGCATGACATCCAGGTGAATACTGCGCAAACATAGCGCGTGAACACAGGCTGAGCTATGAGCAAGCAGTACTTAACCTTACTTAAACCACACCACTCTTTTCACTCTACGTTTGAAATTGATAAACTGTTTTTCTAAATCTCGTTAATACTTTTATTCTTATTTTATCAACCAAGCAAGAATAAGTATTTTTCTATATAACCGGATTCTCAAACATCTTGTTCTATTGTTTCTTTATGGCTGTGCCTTGATATGAGCTCACTGACAATAACTCTTAAACAGCTTCCAGAAGTCTTTGAAAAGAACCCGAATGTTTTTTGCATTACATAAAAACAATAGCACCAGAGGTCACACTATTCGTTGAGGTACAAGTGAAGAATGGCAGTAAAATTACTCTAATAATACTAAATGTTCATACAGTGCCAGAAAATCATTAATATGATTTCGATTGTCTTTTTGGAATCCTTCTCTCGATCTGCCCCTGTAATCGTTGAATAAAAAATCATCCGATCGTACATCGATGTGACGTTCAGAAAGTCTTCTTAAAGGCAACGAATGTAAAGGATTGTCAATATAATCAAATTTGGTCAACTTATGTCTTTTATGACAACAAATCCATATTAAAGCTCTCCTGAACTTTCTTGATACAAAATTATACACAAATGGATTAATTGCATGATTTGCATATAGTAAAATCCTAGTAAAATATAATATAGTTAGGTATGCTTCGAATCCAAAATTCCTCACAGTTTCAGTTTTTTCAAAGAAAGTCCAGATGACCACTGCTCTATATGGAGTATGGCAAATAAAAAACACCATTACAACTGTTATAATAATCTGTATCATTTGTCTTTTTAATTTAATTATTTCAATAGGCGATGTTTCAAATTTAGTCCTTTCTTTTCTGTATAAATACACTAATCGTCGGCACAGTTTGGCGTATAAAAATATTATGATTATTAAAGGAAACAGGAAAAATAAGCTGGTCATAACGACGATATAAATTTTATGCCATAATAAATTAATGGGAGTTGAGCAAAATGGAACTGGTGTACCATCCAGTAGTTTATATGTATTATACTTGGTAATTAATATAGACGGTAAGGCAGATAAAATTGAGCAAATCCATATACCAACAAACGTTTTCGCAATTAACCTAGATTTTCTTCGTTGTGGATTCACACCAAAGGCAACACGATATCTTTCAATGCTGATTGCTAATATAGTTAAGGCAGAGGCATGACCAACACTATTCTCTAGAAACGGTATCAATTTACCTGAAATGTATAAAACAATATTTTGTTAATAAAGCACCGAAACAGTTTCTAAATATATTAACGTGAAGTTTCTCATATATATCAAACGTAATAAATAAATTAGAGGAAGAATCTGTACAGTATACACCTAACGACAGGGACTTTCAACATCAAACCTCTTGATGAGACCCTAGTTGTACTATAATGCTAATCCAGATTGTCTCCCACTCCCCTACCTATACTTCTCAGATATCCCCTTTGATATGTGTTGACTCATACAGGGCATATATACATATATAGTTTTTGCATATAAATCACTCTTATTGATTGTTCTGGTGATATTGAGGTTTTTTCTATTTTTTCACTTGTTTATCTTTTAATTAACCCCTAAGGACGTGTTTCCTTTTCACTCATATTTCTAGATAAAATGAATGAAACATTTAACATGACACAAATGTGACATTTTTATTGGTAACCATAGCGACAAAAATCAAATCTTTAAAACCATGTCAAATGTTAGAATTAGTATTCTTGGAACATACATTCTTGACGAGAAGAAACAACAAAAAAATGCACATAGCCCTATTGAAGGTGAACCTATGTGACTGTTAAGAAAAATTATGCAGAATAACAAGCATCTGAAAAAAAAATTGTCACCACATGATTAAAGCTGGCGACAATACACTGTGTAACAGTAACAAAGAACTTCATGTACTGTTAGCAGTTATATGAACTAATCTTTTTTCTTATGTTGGTTGACCAGAATTTTACCAATAGATTCATTGTATTATTAATTAACAAGATGGTTTTTATTGCCACTTAAATTTTTATGTGAACCAGAAGTTGTACATATGCACCTCATCACAAAGAAATATGCGACAATTACGTGTACAAAACCCATTTCAGCAATTAGTTACATCTCGGCGTTTGAAGCCTAATTATAAAAAAAATTCAATACCAATGAATGTGTTGACAGAAATTGTCTTTTTACCCGAGGCCCTTACACGTTTCAAACCAATGATTTTGAGACATTAGTTTGAATTTTGAATATTGATGGCAACTTGTTGGCGTTGGCGTGAAAGATCTGAAAATTAAGTGCGCACCTTCAAGATTTGTTAAATGTGGAGAAAGCACCAACATCGAAATAACAAGCCTCCCGAGACTGGGGTACAAATACGGGGCACACTAACTCAATGGCGGACCAACACTGTAGAAGCTGAATCCAAAATGCGGAAAGTCATAGTTGCAAGCCACTCAGAGTGCATTTGAGAGAGTTCTCCCAAGAGAATTTGTAAAAAATTGAATAGATCTGTGGTATTCTTATACATATTTCGGAGCACAAACGTATACAACTCATATTTTTAAATTTAAGATTTTGTTAACACTGTTATATGTAAACTCATTCTATTTCTCCATTAATTACATTAGCGGAGGTTTTCTTTGACTTTAAATTACTTATATAAATTTTAAACGGTTCGATTTGAAAATCGTTTACAATAACAAGTTTAACTCTACTAAGTAACTCTGATATTAATATTCCAGTGTCACTATGGTATACTATTCAATAATTCTGTTCACGAAAGCTTGGTCATCCATTGTTTATAAATAATATATTACTTCCCTGGGAAATTATATTTCAGACTCTATATGAATATTATGAAGAGTTCGTATATCTCTAAAATTGAAATTGGCATTGAATGTTTCCCAACTGCTTAATGGCCATCGTAAAAGTAACTGTATATATAGAAGTATATTGCAAATACACAATATTGATTTAATGAAGAGTTTTACCTCTTACTTTTCTGCTTATAACAGGGTAAATGAAGACAACAAGGGCCATTTTTCGAAAACTGTTACCATTGAGCACATGTAGACAAAAAATGTTCATAGTATTGAATATTTATGATATCTATGTAACTTTGTCGAACGAAAACATTTGTCAAAAATACATCATGATAAATTGAGCACAAGAAATATGGTATTACAGTGCAGTATAAGGACACATGACACATGGATCACAATTTATAGTCAGGTACTTGCGCAGAGATTGATTTTTGGAAGATGGCAATGTTGGATATGCTTGCTCAATTGAGTATTAAAATGGATTTTCTCAGCTAACTATAGTTTTTCAAAATTTTGAACTACTTTTAGCAGGTCTTCGTCAAGTTGGTTTTGATTTAAAAGAGTACTTTCCTGAGTTTTTTTTCTACAAACTGCAATCGGTAGTGTTAGAGTGAGATTTAAAAATTCCAATAAAAGCACTGGCCTAGGTCACAAAACAGAGATAACTTTTGATTATCATGTGATGATTTATGACATGCCAAATGAAAAGCTTCAAATACGGGAAATACCTGATCAACACCAATTAATTAACCTTAGTATCAACCTACAAACCAAAATCTCTTTGCTTATAATTGAGAATATTTTCCTTATAAGATAATCACTTTCCAACACTGTAAATATATTGAACACACAAACTGTAAATGAAACATCAAATTTCTAATACGGTAAATGAGATCTGAAATGTCTTGAACTTCTAAGTCCTTTTGGCAATCTGTAGCCCTTACGTTTGCTATCACGATAGGCTATACGATACGATACGTTTAATAATATGATAATGGCCTGTCACGGATTAGAAGAAATGTCCCTTTGAAAATTTCACATATTTTCTGACCTTGGAAATGTTTTCTGTTGCATTTTGACTAAATTAAAATGAATTCAATGTACACAATGATAACCATTAAATTTCTAGACTTCGTAAAATGATGTTGTGTACTTTTGACTGATTCCCTTGATTTTTCTATTTTTTATCACGAAGTTTAAAAATCAATCTAGTCTCATTATCTCTCCATTTACATCAAGTGAATTATCAAGACTGCATTGAAGGCTGTCTTTCATATAGGTTATATAAAAAATTATGAGTGCAGACATATAAAAGGTATCATTCATTTACATTATTACATCTCGTGTTCGAATTCCCATAGGCAACGTTCTCGGCGACGGCTTATGATATCTGTCAACACAAAAAGTTTTTACACTAAATTATAATATTCTAAATTGCGTGGTTTATTACATTTTTGACATACATACTTCTTATTGTCTAGCATGGATTATTATATTAATGGAAATATATCATAACATTGCCACAAAAAGATAAACTTGAAAACAAGACGTCATATGTACACTCCACAAATTTACAAAATACATACACTCAAAGAATCGAGGTTTCCTTCAAAGTGTTTCCAAAATGTCTCAATCTTAACCTGTTAAACATTTGCTTACTGATCTGGATTCCTGGTCGCGATAGATCTGTTAAATATAATATCACGTCCCCTTCCATTAGTTCAATAATAATAGTAACGTAATGTGTGTGGTCATTATCATGTTCCTTGAAAAATAGTGTTCTCTTATCATCGGCATTTTATTTATGTGTGGTAGGGGATCCACGCGGCCTATATGCACTATTCATATCGTATTACATTAGCCAAATTACTTACATCATATATTGTACACAGCAGAAAAGTGAGAATGTCGTTTTCCAATTTATTTTACAAGGAATTGTTACCAGGTGGGTCTTCAACTTCAACAGGAATATCAAGCATTATTCAAAAATGTGTATCAAGATGTACATTGAATTATGTTTTTTATTTTACGCAAATTCTACCGACAAAGGCGACGAACAGATATCAGTTCTGATTTTTGCTAGACAGTTGGGCTTGGGTCATTTTGCCCGTCTCTGGTTGACCATCGAATGATCAGGTTCTAACAGATGCTGGCAATTGCTCGCTGACCTTAAAGATAATGTTCTCTCCGATGATACCAGTCCAAAGGTCAACCTTATAGTTGCGTCTATACGAGATCAAAATAAGGAGATGTTAGATCACCATAAAATTTTTGCACAAAACTTGATAAAGAGTTCATTCACCAAACCATGTTACTGATAACATAATTAGATCCTTTGTTCATTGAAACATCAATAACAATATAGACATATTGATTAAAACAGATGTCACGGCGCTTGCTTTGTATTTTCTACCCGAATACACACATACATGACACATCATAAATATATAATTAACAAACAGGTTGCCCCAAAGGAGGTAATTTGACCAAACAGTAGAAAATGTCATAGTGGTTTAGTCCCCTACAAAATCAAATTTCCTAATGCATTCACACATGCATGCTATATGTGTCCAAACCACATCCCCATTCGGGGTCCTAGTAACAAAAGTGATTACGTATTCATAGACAAATATTTTCTAATAAAAATTGGCTTTACTGTATTGGTAGCAAATTTCAACCAATCAAAACAAATCACGCGTTGTTTGCGAACGTATAATAATATAATGGAAATTTTGCATACTGCCTCTTTAAAGGGACAGGAAACTACACTGTTTTAGCTTAGCAAATCAGTAATAGTGTTGACAGCTCGAAATTTGAGCCATCAATTCCATGTGTGTCCTGAATTATATGCGTTTGAAAGTTAAAATGACGACTCGCCAATTTAAGATACTCTGTGATATTAGAAAAGAC